AACTTACCAAATTAATACCTTTACATTTATGTATTTTTTTATGTAGTTACAGTCAATACTAACTGAATTCTTAAATCCTAATATGCTACAGTTCATTCCATTTATAATTTAGATAATGTCGCAATGACTTGTAATTTTGTCGGTAATTACGTCATCTGATACAGTTAAATAATAGATAATTTAATCGCCAATAAAACAACTCAAGGCATTAAGTAATTCGTCATAAGCTATTGGATAATACCGTTGTTTTAATGATATGTGCCAATAAAATTGTTTATTTGGCTTTTAATTTAATATGCCATTTTAGCACTTCCAGTCTAAAATTAAATAATCGACCAATGCAACAAATGTAAAGACAAGGAAAATGTGTAATTAAAGACAAGTAACAGTAAGTAGAAATTATAAGTAAAGTTTATGACAACCTCGGATAGGGTAATATATCCAACAAAAAGTTGACGAAGACGAAAATTTGGTTAGTTACTGCGTTTATGTGCGAGGTAGGGGCACATAAAGAGCTATAGATAAATCCTCATAAAATATCTAGATTTTGACCGAATTCTGAATCCATCTATAATATATGTTTACTAAATTGCTTATTGTCCGCAATAATATTTAATCAGAGCATTTGACCAATAGGAATTGCAAAGAGTCTGTATACCCGAATCACATTAACTACCCAAGTAAAATCTGTAAGTAATGATTTTTTAACCAAATCGGACTTAACCTAATTATTTGAGTCTGATTTAGTTAAAATTTAAATTCAATATAATGTATGTTTTTTCCTTGAAAATAAACAAAAAATCTTGGGCATGAAAATTTAACCAATAGTTATAATAATTCCTAATCCTAATGCTGTATAATTGCTAATCCTCACATAGAGAACTTAAGCATTTTTAAATTTTAATATGCCCAAGAGTTTTTGTTAGCTATACTAGAGAAGATTGAAAATGACAAAGTTATTTGATATAACTTGTTTTTTTCAAGACAAAGATCAATATATGAGAACAGGTAATCTAGTGACACTCGGCCTAAGTTAGGGTTTTGGGTAAACAAATGACGTCATGTAGATCACTAGGTTACCTGACACTTGAAGTGTACTATTGCAAAATTTTTTTACAAAGTAAACCTATTAATTAATTTGCAGTCTTTTATGGTCTTAAAGGTAGAAAAAAAATTCGATCTGATAGATTATTAGATATAAATATTTTATCTTTGCATCATATTAAATTTCGCAATATAGAAATTTAAACCCACAAATGGTTTTCTAACTTTAGTTAAAATTATTACTAGATGAATTGTTTACCTTGGCAGTTATCTGATCTATTGAAGTCTTCTGATGATCCTGAACTTATCCCAAGAAAATATTTGTTTGGTAACCCAAACAAAGCATGCCCAAAAATATCATATGATGGTAAATATCTGGGATTTATTGCTCCTAGTGAAGGTATAATGAATGTTTATATAAGCCATGATCCTTATGATCTAAGTAAAGCAAAGCCAATCACCTCTGATAAAAGTCATGGTGTAAGAGAATATTGGTGGACATATAATAATAGAATTTTATATTTAATTGATAAAGATGGAGACGAAGGTGAATTAATATAAAAATTTTATTAATAATGCATCTAAAATAATTTATATTAGAGAATAATTATTTAAATTTTCTTTCTAGACTATAAAATTTATTCAGTTAACATTGATACAACTGATGAGATATGCTTAACTCCATTCAATAATGTTCAATCTAAACCTATCAGATTATCTCCAAAACACCCTCATGATGCAATTATTAAGATCAATAAGCCAGATCCTACCGCTTACAGTCTTTATCGTTTCAATCATAAAACACAAAATATTACTCTAATTGAAGAGAATAGTCAATCTTTTAATGAATATTTCATTGATGATTCACTAAGAGTTCGATACGCAATTAAAGAGGTTGGAATAAATGGAAAAGAGATTTATGTAAAAGATGAAAATACTAGCGAAAATCCTGACAAATGGAAATTGATTATTTCTTATAACCTTGATGACGCTAAATCCTCAGATATAATATCTTTAGATAATGAAGGTTCTATTTATTTACTTGATTCACAAGATTGTGAATTTAATTCTATATATAAATTAGATATAAATGATAAAGAACCAAAACTTCATTCAATTTCTAAGCCATCGGATCAAAAAGCAGATATCAATAAGATTCTTCTTCATCCTGTCACTAAAAAACCTCTTGCATATTCTGTCACTCATCTTAGAGATTCTTGGTATCCTATTGATGAGAAAATCATGTGTGATTTAGATATTTTAAAAAACTTTAATGAAGGAGAACTCGAACTCAATATAATTTCTCAATCATTGGATAATTTAATTTGGACTATTTCTTATGAAAGTGGAAATAAACCTCCAAAATATTATCTTTATAATAGAAACGATCAAACTTTTCATCATTTATTTGATGCGCGACCGGAATTAAAAAAATATGAATTAGGTCAAGTTTTTCCTTTAATAATTAAATCCAGGGATAATTTGGATTTAGTCTGTTATCTTACACTTCCAGCTAGGAAATATGATCCTTTAACAAAATACAGGCCAAAAAAACCTTTACCATTAATTTTACACGTTCACGGTGGTCCTTGGAATCGTGATTATTATTGTTTTAAAGCTGATTCACAATTATTTGCAAATCGTGGTTATGCTGTATTAAATGTAAATTATCGTTCCTCTACTGGCCTGGGTAAATCTTTTATTCGTGCTGGTATCGGCGAATGGGGTAAAAAAATGAATGATGATTTAATTGGTAAGTTCTTAATAAAAAAAAATTATTTTATTTTATTTTTATTAATCACTCGATCTTTTATCTTGAAATATAAAGATGTAGTAAAATGGGCAATTTGCAAAAAAATTGCAATCAAAGAAAAGGTTGCAATTTATGGTGTAAGCTATGGTGGATTTGCTACGTTA